TCCAAAGTGGCTTTCCAAAACACCACCACTTTTTTTATCATTTCAACTAAAGATTTTTGGGTTTCTAGGCATAAATCTCAAGTTTTTTATTTTTTTTTGTTAGTTTATGCTTCTAAAAAAATAGGAATTATATAGTTTAGCAGAACTGTGATTTTATTCATCCCAAATACTTCATTCTTTCAATTATTTCGCGAATATTGCTATTTTTAAAGGCGGAGTGACGGAACCCATTTTGGAATCGGAGAACATGGAGAGATACATAAAAGTGTGAAAATATTTTAAGTGGAATTAAATGTAAATAATATCGAGTATTTGTTTCATTTAATCACTCCTATTATAATAGTTAATAATCATAAAAGTGTTGGATATAACTGTGTCCAAACTTCGCCCCAATCGCCTGAACAAAGGCGCGCCAATACCCATGTTGTGTGATTAGCATTTTTGCACATTCAAATGATTCTCATTTAATTTATATGTACATATGCTATCTTTTCATTTTTTTTTATTTAAGTAATATAATATGGAATTTAAATTTATGGTTTATATTAATTAAAATTAAAATTTCATTTTGGAGAGATGGTGAAGAGTATTTATTCCGATTTTGTTTAGCACTTAAACCGAATAGGATGGAGAAACGAGTAGTGTTCATAAAAAGTGAACTAAAACTCAGATTTTGAAATCTATGTAGATGAAATTTTCCAAAAAAATTTTACTGTTGAGAGGTAAAACATTATTATTCCCCCCCTCGGCGAAAAGTTAAAATCGGCCCGGTATATGCTCGAACGAAGGCCATTTACCTTATTCTGAGCGACAAATTTGTATATTTTAGCTAGTTTTCTATTAGTAGTGTTGGGCTCTGTTTTGATGTATGAATTTCACTCAAAATAATTTTTTTTCATTAATTATATATATATATATATTTTTATTAATGTAGCAATATGTGATTTGAATAAAAGCGCAATACGATGTTGAAATATTAAAAAATGGTATTTTTTGCTAAAAAAGTGATGAGAGTGGGGTTTGAACCCACGCCCTCGAAAGGATTGGAACCTTAATCCAACGTCTTAGACCACTCGACCATCTCACCTTTCATCGGGTTCCAATAAAAAATATTTAAAACAGTGACCCTTCAGGAGGTGCGGAATAAAAATTATTGAGCTTAAAGCTTATTCGAAAATTATATAACAGTTAATTATTTATCAATAAAAAGAGGATATATATATATATATATAAACAAAAGATACTATCTTGAGTTTTCAAT